GCTTTTTTTCTTCACTTAAAAGCTTATCGTATTCCTTTTCCTTTTGTTTCTCTATATAAGGGCTTGTAGATGTTATTTGTTTTTGAATGTACGAACTTTGACTAAAAATGTTTAAATAGTCTTACCCAAGTATATCGTAGATAAGACGCCTGACACATTTTAAGAAAGTGGAAGGCAATGTTTCAGTGAAACTAAAGAAAATAAAACTAAAAGAACTTCGAACTTCCATTGTCTTTAAACTGGTCAAGCCAGTCAGTATGTAAATCAATTCTGAGTAAAGTGTTAACTTTTGCTTCTTAGAATATGAACGATTTGCACGTTCGGTAGAAACATAGAGGCTAGAGCGATATGATACAGATGCGCTAAGGTGGAAAGAAAGAACAGTATTACAGAGACCAAACCAATAGTATCAGCGAGGAGCTAGAAGTAATCGAACAGTTGAAGAAGGATGATCTAGATTCTTCCGGAAAGCAAGGACAAAGCTGTTGTAAAAACAACGCGAGAGGAAATACTCGTTTAATATATACTCGATTAATATCTAGTGACTCTACTATGACAATTGAAGAAAAATCTACCGAAGTTTGTACAAATTTATGAATTTCATTCATGTTACAGTTGTGGTTCTTAGGTTAAGGGAGCCGCTTGGAACAATCACTGGTTCAAGAAATTCAACGACCAACAATTTAAGTAGACTTATTCTTCTAGTAAGTAAAACGAATTCATTTGTTAAGAACTAGAAACATTTCTTTGGTATGCTTAAAGATTAAGTCTTTCAGGCAACTTCGTTAGCTTCGATATATCAATATCCCTGTAATTAGTTAGACATTGTCGAGGCTCGATTGGGGGACCTGTCCCTTCATGGAGTGATAGAGTTGTTGCCAGTATATAGCGTACTTTCAAATTAAAAATAAGTTTTATGCCGACGATGGTAGTTTACGAATGAGTTGCTCACTCTTTCCAGTCATGGCGAATGATTCGGTTGGACTTTCATAATCCAAAGTTGACAGCGCATTTATTTTATTTTTATATTAATTTGCGTCGTCCTAAGACAAGAATGACAATGTAAATTGTTTCAACTATCCACTGAGTCGTTTTAACAAATTCTGTATCAAACGTCAACGTTCCAATTGCATTCAACTTTTTGATTCAGTTGAACGAAATATTACACTTTTTCTAGGTAAGTGTTCAGAGGCTTTTAGGTGAGACAGATTAGATTAATATAAATGGTTTTACAGGTGGTCGTCTTTCTTTCAAAACATCAATGAATCGAATTTTTCAAAAGTATCTACGCTCATGAAAAGAAATCATATCTCGGTAACGGTAATATAGCGTTGTAAGGCGATAACTTTCGAACTTACAGAATGAAAATTCTGAAACTGTTTAGACCTCGGCGACATTCTTTCGACATCGTTATGAAAAGCGGACAGAAGAAACTTGAAATTAACGATTTTACGTTTTGAAACTTAGGCCCTATCAAGGGTTACAACTTTTGTTTACAAGGTTATCCCATATAAAACAGGATATGCAGGATATTACAAAAATTCTTGATCTGGGTGTGAGAGATATTTGAAAAAATATAGATGAAAATCGCTATTACTGGTACAAATACACCAAAGTTTGACATGACTTTACAGTTAGGTTAAGTGCACTTTTTAAAGGCACTTTATACAGGCTTAACGCAAAAAAATCCATTGACTGCGAATGTTACATAGTGATTCCCAGATAGATAGAACAAAAACCGGGAAGCGGCTCTTTCGAAATAAAATGTGACGCCAAATTGAGCTACAATAGAAGGGGATTAATTAAGAATTAATTAAGAATACCGTTTATGGGCTTTGATCAAATTCACTCGAAAAAGTGGTGTGCCATAAAGCCAATATTTTCAATTTCGAGGAAAGATCAAGATTGACTGCTAGGGGAAATCAAAAATCATTTTCTCTAGTTTATAAAACCGTTTCGTCCGTATATACAATAAATAACCCTGGTACCTGAGAGTGTGCAAAGTTTGTAATTTAATTAAGCTTAAATTTAATTTTATTTAGAATGGAATTTCGCATGAAAAAAACTGAGCAATATTTCTTTAAATTAGTAGCAGAGCATTTTCTTGTAATCTTGAAATATATTTTAATACCGGTTATATTTCAAATCTACCTACACTTCAAAAAATTCCTTCCTTGAGATTATTCAACTGAGAAAAATATGGAGAATTTACGGTACGGCTCGTTCCCAATATTATCTCGAGAGTGAATTTTTTGGAGGTTTATTGTCAAGAAATCTTTTATCCCGTTTATTCAAATCGTGGACAGAGCCTGTCTCGCTACATGAAAAATGGCTTAAGAAAGGATAACGACAGATGAGGATGTTTTTCAAATTTGCATATACGTTTTGAGCGTCGTCATTAGGCAAATAACCATATAGGATTAATGCCTACGCAGTTTGAGGGAAACGCAATTCTCTCACCCAATTAGTACAGAATGATGATGATTGCCATTTCAGAAATCACTTCAAATCAAAACACAGCGCTATATTTTTCTTATTGGTACCGTTCTGATATACATATTTTTTGAAAGATTGTGATAGTGCTAAGTAAAAATACATTTATTTCTAGAAAACAAACCGTTTTCTGGATATTTGCGTCTTCACAAAAAAAATGACTATTAAAAACTCATATATTTCTATCACGTATTTGATATTGAGCCAAGTACAATTTCGCCCCTTAATGACATACAAAATGCAAAAGTGTAATTGTCGAAATTCTTATTTCTCTATAGCTCAAGCAGCTTTTGAGATATGGACATGAAAACTTGTACTTCAACGTTTTTGAGGTAGAGATTACCATTACCAATGGTAATTTCTAAGTAAAAAGGAACTATATTTATTCTGATAAAACGCGAGATATTTGCGTTGGTTTTATTCCAAGTCAAATATCTTGCTCAAAAACAGAATGCCTATAAACACGTTAGGTGTTTTCACATTATTTTAATAAAGTCAGGTGGTTAATATCGCTAGGCATAATGAATAATCAAATTGATTGAATTGAGATACATTTAAAAAAAAAATAGAATAGGTACAAAAAAAAATTGTGGCTAGCGCCTTTTACATATCCGAAAAAGTAAAATGCGATCGTATTTACCATCTCTATCTATAGAAAAATAACAATTTCGAAAACTAAACCTTAATAACATGTACCGCATTTTACGACGGCCTATTGGGCTCAATAACATAATTTTCGCGAGTTTAATATAGAAGTGCTTTTTGGCGCATTCATTACTCACTACTTTAATATATCCGCCAAGTTATTAATCTAAAATAGTTCCTGCTTTATTGAAAGTAAATAAGTCATATTTCACCAAAAATGCAAAGTAATTCTGACATACAATTTTATTAATAACAAATTAGCCCTTACTAATGACTTTATAATGACTGAATTTGATCAAAACAACCAAAAACATTATTAACCTCTGTTATTAAGTCTAGAGGGGAAATTATGTCGATGTCTCTTATTATGCACAAATGCTTTTTAGGGTCTAAACATACACCTTTCATTATTCTTTGTTAGGTTAGTTAAGGAATTGTTGTTTTGGGCTGGCCTTACGAAAAATCAAATTCTTAAGTCGGCGACATTTCAGCAATTTCATTCTCCAGTTCAGGATTACAAAAAAAAAACATATACGTAAAATCGTGTTCTAAAATGAAGCAATTATATCAAATAAAAGTGCTTAAAAAATAAATAAATGTAAATGTAGATGAAACAATATATATTACTATTGCATTTCGTTTGCGATCTTGGTTAATTATATAAAAAATTGGCAAAATCATCAAAAACAATACAAGTGGACTTTTACCTCACGCACGCAAAAGGTACACTGACTATAATTTTTGTTTGTTATTATTTCTGCTATTTTTTACCGGTACCATACTTAGTGAAGCTGTCCCGATAATTGAAATGCTTCTCTTAAGTAGGTAGACTACATGAGACTAATAAAAACATATTTTCTCTTAACTTTTAGATCATTAGCGATATTTTGATAAAAACAGGATATTTACAGTGATATTGAAAATAGGCTAAAAAATGTTTTTTAATGATTTTACCAACCTCTGTCATAAGTTTGAATAAAGTAATTCAGATGTAGAACCACCCCTTTTTAATTTACGGGCTCCTGTATTAAAAAAATATACTAAGCCAAATTTTAAATTTTCTAAGATGGTAACCACCTTTTTCTCATTTACTAAGGTGATTAGTATATAATAGTAAATTACAATATTGTTGGTTACTTGCATCGTCATATTTCATTGCGGTGATTAATGAAAGATTTTTTACTAAAACGGCTTCAACAAATCCAACATCACTTGTATACTGTAAGTATTCTAAGAAACTTTCGAGTTACTAAAATTTCAGTGTAAACCAATAAATAATTTTCTCAATACAAAAATTTATTAAGTTATAATACCAACTAATTTCTGTTAAACATATTTTTACCGGCAAACAACGTAGAAAATTTTAATACATATATTTAATTTAGCTTTATGGGTTTTGACGTGTAAAAAAGACGTTCAGTAAAAATCTTGCGAATAGATTCTTCAAAAGAAGAATAGAATATTTAAGGATTAAAATATATAATTCAGTTTTCTGGCATACAATAAACATAAATTACAATAATTAAAACGTTGTTACTTATAAATATATGCATGATACTACTAACAAATTTATTATTTATTAAATAAATTAAATAAAAATAATCGTTCTAGTTCAATTGTTTACAAATTTTGAATCTGCAACTTGGAAGCGAATAACGACATTACAACAGATTATTTTCTAGATATTATCAAGACCAAATTACAATTTGTGATGCTTTTTCATTATTTTTTGCCTCTTTCGGTATATACCCAATATGAGATAAAAAATGAAAACAACACGAAAATCTTTTTACTAGTCGTTGATTTCGGTTTTAATGCTATCAAATCAGCCAAAGCAATTTTATTTTATCCAACAGACTTACCCCATAAAAAATCTCCTCACTTCCTAGTTTCAAATTTGCTTATTTAACGCGAACATTAAATTGAATCAAAGATGATGCTTGCACACGCCGGCTGACTTTCAACAAGTGTGGACTTTTTCGCCACCAAATCACTAATGACATACTAAAGCCTCGTAGCCTCAGAAACTCCATAGTCGGCGCGCCGATGCCTGGAAAACGACTTCCCCTCCACCTGGGATCCGATCCTCAGAAAACTTAACCTATTTGTAAATCGCTGCAGGTTCTTGTTTAAAGGATCTTTTGTTTAGTTGAAAATTTTGAGCACCCCATTAACATTAAATTCAATTGAAGCCGAACAAATTATTGCTAAAATGCTTACAAACTGACAACTATCTATAAACAAAGGTTCCGCCACCGAACAAATCATGAATTGAAAACTAATCGTCTCAATTTAATAACAAACAAACCGTACTCTCCTAAAAGATACTCTAAAATACACAATTATGCACCGATTAGGTGCACGCAAAATGTCAGCTTCATCAAAAATTGCTGCATCGAGCGTTTCTGATAAAGCATCACAGGTTGAGATTTATCGGATGTTTCCGGTAGATTTATTGAAGGTGTCACTCAGTGATCAATTTCTTTCGATACTTACTTATTTAACTCTTGATCCGCTTGTGTTTAAACAAACTCGTGACTAAAATGTTGTTCATAAAATTTGTTGCATAATATACTATATACACTATAAAATGTGGTGTTTTAATGTTACAAATATTTCTAAATCATGAGATTTGAACTATACTATTTTTTAAATAATTATAATGTCTCTGACATATGGTGCTTTTTTAACTGAACAAACTTTTGAAATTGGATGATTAATTAGTAAAAATAAAATTGATCATGATAAGTTTATTCTAAAAAATAATACACTTTTTTCTAATCCTTTTCTGAAGAAAAATATTTTTTTCTGATTCAGAAGTATTTTAATTAAATTATTTAAGTAAATGCATTAATGACAATTAATTATTTCATTTTTAGATGTGAAATATTTTTAGTTGATATTTTTTATACATTAGTAGCAATAATACAATACTAGGTATTTGTTATTAATAGACGAATTCTTTAATTTTTATTCGTTTCTGTATATTATGGTATAGGAATTGTATTTAGACTAACTAGATCGCGAGTTACTGCTTCTTAATTAATAGACAATTAAAAAAAGATTCGTTAACAATATATAACAAATAACTGACTTCAAGGAGCAGGAAAGTTTGGATTTAATAAGACACACAAATCGCAAATAACAAAATGGACTGAAAGCACCTCAAAACAAGTTCATGAATTTCAAAATCTTAATTCTGCAGTCGCTTTTTATGCTGGAATGCAAATACTCCCTAATCATAAAATTTGTATTGAAATCCAATACTTACACAGTGTAACTTTTACAGTGTAACTGTGGGTGGTGAAAATTCTAAACGATTGATTTTCTCCACATGTCATAAGAGCTCTGAAATCCTCTCTCAAAGAAAAATTATTTCATCTCACTACAAAAAAAGTTCTAATTCGACTTACAAAATTTTTGGCACAAAGAAAATTATTAAATTAATAAATTAGAGGAGTTAGGGAATTACTCAACTAAAATAAGAATAAATAAAAAATTATAGTGTTTTATTTAACACCTTCAAACCAGAACAATCTGTAGGCGATGAGGGTAATTTTCTTATGCCAACTTTCGTAATTTCACGTTCATCCTCGTGCAGACTTCAAATTTATTTTCTTTACAAATTGCTTAAAACTACCTCTAAAACAGGATTAATTGAAGAGTAGTTGGAGCGACGCTTGAATAATGTTGTATTTTTAATATTGTTCCGCTGGAAAACGAAGCATTTGACAGTGTCCTATCATGCGGGTTTCTTAAGGTCAATGCCCCGACTTCTCATTGCGCTAAACTTGATTGATTTCCTTTAGAACTTCCCGAAAGTATACGGGGACTATTCATATGAAATTCACAATCATTAGTTTTATGTTTCGAGCGATATTGCCAAATTTGTTCGGAAACTTGTTCAATATTTATATGAGTGCTATACTACAAGTATATATTCATATATTCAAGAGTTTCCTCACAGTAATTATAGCGACTAATTCTTAACGCAAGTAAACTTAGGTGGCAAAAATTACACCCTCCAGACACCATCACATTATATTATTACTAACCAAAACATACACCAGCAAAAAAAGAGATAAGCGTATATTCTTGAGGGAAATTCATTGAGTTTTGCAAAATTTTGCACTCAAACCGATTTGTTTTTTCTGGACCATGCAACTTTAAATTCTAAAAAGATCTCTATAATGCTGCGAGTGTGATGCTCCTGCCAACCAACTCGAAGTAAATGATAGTATCAAATGATCGTAATTTGTGTCTAAACACGATTAAGAGCAAAAGAGTCAAGATCAAACACCATGCACAACCAACTGCAGGCATTTTGAAAACTCAAATTGTGTCATCTAAGCTACAAAATACATAAAATTGTATGACCCAACTCGACTCAAACACTATTGCCAATACTGGAATAATTAGTAAAAATTAGTGGATTTCAGTGATTTCAGTTTATTTCAGTAACATTACGATAAAGTTTGTAGAGCCGCTTATAAACCTGTGACCCGTAGATTTCATTGCAGTCAGCTATGACGAACAATTCAGTATCGCGAGCAAAAAGCGTATAGGACCAGGACGGGATAGTAAATGTCATCAATATACGTCTATATTTATGTCACGTTTGATCGCTTTCACATAGCTCGCACTCACAGTCGGCATCCTACTACAGAGAAAGGATCTTCTGAATATCTCATTTTTGGTATTGAACTTACGAGCTTTCCAGCTAAGCAATAAAGCATAGAAAACACAGTTTACAAAAGAATTGTTATGTGTACCTACAGTTGACCATCAACTTCCCTTGCCACTGGGTTAAGTGCTGCGAGATTTTGAAAAACATCAATTTCCTAATAACCTTTGACGATATTGGCAAAAAGATCTCTAATGGGTCATTGCTGCATCACCCCGACGGTACACCTTATTCAATATATGGGTTTATCCGTGGTATAGTATTACGCAAATCCGCAAGGAATTCCAAGAAATGGAAATTTAAATATAAGTATTTAAAGAAATTACTTTTTGATCTGCGGTTTACCCTTCCAAACAGAGGACGCCTGTGCGGGAATCTGCACCACACTTTTAGAGGGAGAAGAAGAAATGGCACAAGTGTAAGTTTTGTTATTAATTGTAAAAGCGCGACATTAAAGGCAATTTAATACTTATCTCGTATACACAACCTAGGAAATGCTTTCCTTCCTAGGGGGAAATACTTGTTTGATTTTTGAAAAGCAATTTAATGTTTACCTCATTTACACAAAGCAGACATAACCTAGGAAATACTTTTCTTCCTATGATGAAATACGAAGAAGTCAGTGAGACTTTGCGAACGCTTTTACATTTTATAATTTTTAGTATCAACACGAAAGCATTTTAAATATAGAATTTGTTAATAACAACAGTAAAAGTGTCAATTAACATGTGTGTTAAATATTGGACTGCACTTATAAAAAAATAAGAATGACGATTTTTTATCTATATTACTAATTAGCCAATTAGACTTATTAGTGTTAAAAGGTACATCGATTCATGGGTCTGATTCAGCATTAATTGTACCAATAAAACTGGACGAAGATGCAAACAATTTTGAATGCTTCATCCAGAAGTAACTCTCATAGTATTTGAATATTGAGGAACAAAAAACCACATGCGAGATCTAGAGGCTTAAACATGCAAACAGTAATTTATTGTGTTAATAAATGAAATATACATATATATCTTGTATTACCTAAATCATTAAAATTATTAACAAACCCATTATAAAATATTTTGTGATAGATCAGTTTTTTCATACAAAAAAAATAGAAAGAAATATAGGAAAACACGGAGAAATATTTGAAAAATACGAGGAAATACGGAGAAATATTTACGTAATACGGGGAACAATAGGGAAATATTAAGGGGAAATATTTATCCAAAATTTGCGTATACCAGACGGATACATTTCGTCATGCATTAAAAACACGACCACTTGTGCTGTTCAGCGCACAATCGATACAGCCGGTAAGGATGAGACATTCACCGCGTGGTCCGTTATCCCGACGGGATGTTCCGCCATCTCGTTCGTTTATTGCTAAGGTTTGATCCCGTTCACTACGTCAGCACTCGTTTTGCCATAAGATAAACACGCTGTGGTCTATTGGGAAAGTAACCATTCGCTGAACACCGACGTTAGACGTCGCGACGGCATGACTAGTTAGAAAGAGTACGAGAGTTCGCCGTTGTCCCCTCTATCTTCCAAAATTTCCAGGATTTAGGGAAATGTATCGAAAGAGGTTACTGCTACCATTATATTATGTGGGGAAATTGAACCATCATTAGGGTTTGTGCTAAATATTTTGAATGGTTTTGGTTAGTTTTTGTCCGATATCAGCGAACAAAAATATTTGGTGTTAACCGCAAAACTTTGACATCATCTTTTAATTCTTAAAATAAACGTAGTAACTTTTGTTGGAATTGACTTGTATTATGATTGAGTCGAGCGAAATTAGAATTATATTACCTATTTACAGACGCAGATAGTTAAGTGATCAATCGCTTAAAGTTAGGGAACGACGGAGAAATTACAAGAGGCTGGAATATTTGCTTCTAAAAACAAAGTTTAACCGAATCACTGATTTTCAACAAATATTCATAAACACATTGGATCTTTTTGAAATTTTGAAATTTGTTATATATTATGACAACAACAAAAAAACAATTTTCGAAAACAACTGTTTCATATTTTACCAAAGTAAAACTGTATCAAAAGCAGATTTCGCACTTATAGCCTGTCCTTTCTAAACCGCTGCTAATTCTTTTTTTTTTTCATTGACCTAAAAAGTCTAGTTGAAAATATTAACAAGCCTCGTGTAATGACGAATACTTACCACATGATATTGATACTTCTTCGTTGAATTGACCATATCAGAATGAATTTAAAGCAAGCCTGTTTGTCAGCACATCAGCAGATAGAACTAGACGAAAATACATATTAGGGAATCTGGTTTGTAGCTTCATCGTAAAAAAAATGCACCGTAACTAATGCTGTTGTGTATTATCCCTTGTTGCTTATTGCCCGTCCTTCCGCAATTTTCATTATTATAGGAAATACTTGGTCATTAGTGCATCTTACGAGCAAAGGCTCCTAGTAATAGCACAAATAAAGGAAATTATATTTAATGACATATTTCTTGTTTGTCAACGAAATAGGAAGACAAAGGGTAAAATACATGCCCATGCTTTATTTAATTTTTGTTATTGTTGTTAACACATGAAACTCTTGTAATGAGTATTTCAATTCGCATTTAGAAGAGTTTTTCAGTTCGGTGCAGGATAATTAATAAAAGAGAAGAGATTGGTAACGAGCTGGGCCGATTGATTCCAACTTCAGGGCAAGTTTAGCTTTTATTTTTTATCAAAAAGAGTTGAAAAATGTTGCAAAATATTAACTAAGGGTGAGACTGCGAGAAAAATAAAAATAATTTAAATAATATTCGAACTCTTAGTTGTTAATATAGTTTTTAAAAATTCATTTTCTTTACATAAAACATCTATATTGATATTCAATTGCATTAAATGAAATAGAAAATGTCATTAATTTTCTTCAATAACTAGGTACAACATTTACCAATCACTTAGAAAGATAAAAAAGGTGGATAAATGAACAATTACCACAATTGCAAACTGTCTACTCCTGTCGGCGTTTGTAAGTTAGTTTTGGTTTGAGTACAGCAAATCACGTTTTAGTTGTTTAGAAAAGTTTGAAATCAAGCTAGCTATCCCAGAAAGATAATTTGCTTATGGTGATGAACTGGAGCTACAAACGATATTTTTAGATGAGTTTCAACTACTTGCTCAATCTTAAGTTCTAGGCTACAGATTACTTACGTTGCAGTATAGCAAAACGTCTTTAAAAAAAAATTATGACTGAGAAGTCCACTGGTAAATTTACAAGGATTTTTAGTCTAGCCTTATGCCGAGTATTCCATTTTCTTGGTATAGTTCGTCTGACCGGTACTTTCTGATTTTGACAGTGGTCACACTGTAATGTTTTAGTGAAAACATTACAGTGTGCAATGCAATTCAATTCAAGGTTGACACATATACAGCGTTATTTTATTTGTTACGTCAATTTCCATATCAATATTAAATTGGTTCAAATTTAACAGCCGAGCGGAAACAACAAAAATATTCTATTAGACATTATTAGACATCCTATTATCACTATTACTACTAAAACACAGTAGTCTCAACATTTCATGGTGTACTATGTCCGACAGAGCATATTATCTAGGAAATCTCCTCGATTTGCGACAATTTGTGCAATTGGTATATTCTACACCTATTTTATAGATAAAACATCGTTCCCTGAGCGACACGAAGCTCCGTACTAACCTCTGAACTTTGTTGCCCTATAAGATCTAAAAGTTCGATTCTGTGCATCATGTAAATATTAAATGGAGTACCCCCAAAAGCAGTTGAACTCGATCTAAAGATCTATAAATAACAGTAAGTGTATTAATAAATTATTTTATATTATTCCTCGATTTTTCTACCTGTATCGCGGTTTTTAATGGTAAACATCGTTTGCAAGTTATAATAAATAATGGTTGTGATATATTTTGACTATTTTTGACGACAACAACTTTTCTCAATTTTAAAAAATGTGCAATGCTTAGTTTCCAAGATACAGGACCTGCAATATTTTTAAAAAATAGTTTTCGAAAATCCTGTAGTCATTGGCTAGATTACTTCAATTAAGCTGATTGCGAGGGGTAAATATCTGCCCAAAATGTTATACACCTAGAAATCCTGTTGAATCCCCAATAATTTCCTTTAAATCCTAATAAACCCCCTTTTTACTTAAAACCTGGAACATAACCTGACAGTTCAAAAGCTAGCACAGGGGCGAGTAATAAGTTGTCTTTGATGATTTGGAACAAAAATTGTACCCTTACCGAATAAACAAACCTAGTAAATAATAAAACAATTGAGATTAACTAATAACATTTCAGCAGTTTTGCTTTTTATTTGTGTAACCGATTTTAATATGACATATTAATCTTCGATAATATTGAAAATATTCGATTCTTTTTTTCTACGTTAAACCCGTCTTATCTCCCAGGCCATTTAAATTCGTATTTCCTTCGTTTATTTTGTCTTAAAAATGTAATTCTATTTCGGATAATTGGCAGTGCCATCAATATTTCTTAAAAGTTCTCTTACAAACCGGCCTTCGTCATAATACACTGCATTATTTTCTTACAAAATTGTCAACCCTATTGAACTAGAAGGTTGAGGAGAGAATTTTTTTGTAGATTTTCTCCCTTAATATTCTTCTTTAACACTATCTGGGATACCTCTACTACTTCCTGCATGTTCCATTAGATTTTAGTAACTTTAATTTTTTGTGTTTATTCCAGTGCTTTGATTTTTTGTTTTTTTGTTTTTGTAGATGTTACAACAAAACGTTTTAGTATACTAAGGGCAGTCTTCTGTTTCGTAATTTGCTTGAAACCGTCTCCATTCGGCTCTTCATTCTTCGGCAAAATCTGTTTTCTATGCCGAAGACTGCAAGACAATGTGGTACGCCGAAATCATCGGTAATGGTAATGCATTATGCATTCTCGCAAATCTTTGTAAATCCCCTTGAATTCTCTTAAATCCCTAAAAATCCATAGTAAATCACCATACATATCCGTAAATCCTAGAGAGTGTAAACCATAAACCCCCAGCAATTTGCCCCTCGGCTGTTGGTGCTAATTTCCAACATCTTACCTGGTTTTAATTTTGAAGGACTAAATTTAAAAAATAAGTTTTTTCAATTTTCATGATTTTTATTTTGATCGAATCGAAAACAATGAAACATACAAAAATTACTGGAGATTCAAAAAGTTGTATTGTTTGTGACTTATTCAAACTTAATAACAAAAATTGAAAAAAAATCAGTGGGTACGTCTTGTCGTCATTACTTTGTTAGGATACTTCTCGAGACCGCAATAAACTTCACAATTTTAATTTGGTCGAAGCAAAATGAGCCCTTCATCATTATAAACGGCATTGCCAAATTTCGACAAAAACAGAAAAAAAAAATTAACTAACGTACCTATAATTATAAGAACTCTTTTTTCTAATTTCCAGCCGAGCGTTCGCTCCTGTTTTTTGAAGTTCTTTGTATATTGCATATAAAAGAAAAGAAAACCCCATCGAGATGTATAAATAAAATATATAAATATGAATATATATATATATATATATATATATATATATATATATATATATATATATATATATATATATATATATATATATATATATATATATATATATATATATATATATATATATATATATATATATATATATATATATATATATATATATATATATAGTGTGTTAAAGTAATTCATTATTTGTTTTAAAGAAAAATTTTAAAGAATGAAAAATGTTAAAAGAAACAATTTAAAATTATTTTCCAATATGCAGCGTAATCCGAAAAATATGCGAGAAATCAAACATATTCTTTTTAAATGGAACAACCTGTAAATTATATCATAATCATTTATCCTGTACTTGCCTTGAAATTAGTTCTAATCGTTTATACAAGGTTCATACAAAATGCGAAAAATTTTCAAACTGTGCAAAAATATCACAAAAGACTGAGAACAAAATTAATATTACTATTAATATTAATATTAACAAAACAAAAAAGAACTGTTTAAGTAAGTTTCACTTTATTTATTGCTCGAAATGTCTCCCACTGACTTTAACACAAGCTCTAACACAATCATTAAACGATTGAAAATAGTCCATCTTTGTTACATCAAGAGATCTAGGTGAGGAAGTAAATTATTTAAATAGTATGTAACTTGATGGGCATAGTGTGCAGGAGTTGTATCATGAAGGAACTACATTCTCTGCTTCAGTTTGTGTAAAACCATTCATCAAACTCACAAGAGTTCTTTTCGAGAACGGGCCTCTACCGGGGTACTGTTGCTTGTCAATCCTGTTAGCTAATAATGCTAAATCTCAGTAAGAAAATCATGTCGACCATTTCTTCCATCGAAAAGTTGATTGAGTTACAGGTTCAATAACTAACAACAAGTTAAGTGAAAAAACTAATACAAAATTGATAGGTTTCAGATAATTATTTATTTCCATGACCAACTTACAACTTACAACTTACAAAACACGCGATCTGAAATAGTATATGATGCATCAAGTGCGGCAAACGGCATTTGACTCACGAGTTTATTTGACACAAGCGAAGCGCGGCGGAGCGAGTTTTTAATAGACGAGTGAGTTAAAAAATTTGCCGAACGTGTTGCATATTATACTTTTTCTACGACCGTTAGTTTTTGGGTACATTTTCGCAAAACAACACGAATACGTTCACTGACATGACCGTCAGAATTTCAAAAATTCAAAGCGTGGGAAATATCTCCGAAAATATCCGGTTGCTTCCAAATGACGCTTCCCGCAGGCAAGATCGGTGGGTAATTAGGTATTTTACAGACGGGAGTAGAAAAACATTGTTCTAGTTCAATAATTTTTTTGGCTTAAAGAAACGCATAATTTCTAAATTTTTTTCACGAAATTAATGTTTTTCATTTTGATTGTATAAACGATTCGAACTAACATCAAGACAAGTACAGGATAAATGACCGTTATATTTTATAAAATTTTTGGCATAATAAAATTTAGAGCGTTATACATCATGTTTGATGAAAAAATGGCCAAATCCAAAAACACTTTGTATTGATTGATTGAGTATAAAAGTGAGTACCTAATTAACTACTAATGACATAATATACAGGGTGTTCCATTTTAAAATAATATAACTTTGGTTATTATATATATAATATTTTCTTTTAGTCTAATTTATAACTTTTGTATTTAACATTTTTTCTGAAACAAATAATAAATGATATATATTACTTTGACACACTATTTGGACGCCACCACATACATAACGTATTTTAAAAAAATATATTTTTCTCTTTTTCGGTGGTACATATTGAAGTAAATACTTATGTATTTTAAGCCTTTTTTGAA